ACCCCAAAACCCCAAAACCCCTTGATATCAGAATTGGATAGATTTAGAAGTTAATATGCAATTAGTAATTAAAGATACATTTATAAATCATTATTATTAATCTATTATAATTCTCCAAAAGCTTCTTACAATGATGGTTCGTCACAAAATAAAATCATTTCCATCAGCAATATTAGTCCCTAAATCATTATAATTATTGCCAGCTCATACATCCTGAAAGTTACCTTTGACTGAGGAAATTTCATATTTATCTCTGGAATAATCATCATCATCTTATACTATTTTAGAATCATAAATGGACTTCTAAGCTGAATATAACCCTTCCTGCATTCTCCTGGTTCTTTTTACACTCTCACTAAAACTCTCACTTTAGAATTGAATAATATCTGAATTTCCTGATGACAAAGAGGCAGCTCTTATAGATTAATCTGGAATCTATTAATTGAGATTTGCAAAGAGTACCTCACCCTCAGTCTCAAGTCTGAGTAACTCTAAGTATTAAAAACCTGCTGTTGTGGGTTGAATCATATCCTCCGGTAACTCTTAAAATGTCCTAACCTAATCCTCTGTAATGTCATAAGCTTTCTGGCAATTAGCTTTCCAGTAATCAATTGGGCATTCTTTAAGTTCAATTTAATGATTCTAATATGATCTCTGAATATAATTTGGGAAGTGAAAATCGGTGGGTTCATTCGTATTCATTATTGCAGAATTTGTTTGAGAATGGATGGTAAGAGTTTGTGGACCATTATCAAGAAAATTTTGATTCTGATTATCATCTGATTCGAATGAACAATCTAAGTTTAAATTGTATCTATAAGGACTCAGGTCACCTTCATTGCTACTGTTCAACAAATCTTGAATGTCAAAATTCCTCATCCGTCTCTCAATCTAAGATACTTAAGATTCATAAGTGTGAAAGGTCCCATAATTCTGAAAATCTGCATCTGATAAGTCATAACTAACTTATCCTGCATGATCTGGCATATCTCGCTTCAAACAACTTCTCTTTGGCTACAAATATTTGTTATAGATGGTTTGAGCTCTAACCTGAATATCCATGTCCTTCTTGGTATTTCTTTTGAATCCCCAGTAGTCAACTACATCATTTATTCTGACTCTTTTAGGCTAGTTGGTGCATTTGTCTACAATCTGATGATAGTCTATCCCATCATGACATGATATTTCATCAATCTTTCTTTTCTTTGATATCTGTACATTTACTTCCATGTTTGTCCCTTGACTTTGACTCATCAAAAACTATTCTTTAATATCTATTGGCTAGTCTATCTAATTAATGGTTTCATTTTCATCATCACTGCAGCTTTAATAAAGGCCCTCTTCTTCCATTTTTTGCTGTGAAAGTGTATCAATCTTCTAGTTTCTAAATACTCGAGTTCTATTCTTTATCATCTTAGAGAATTTGTTGGGATGCTTTGGCACCACCACTTGATACTTCTGCTCTTCACTGGAACTGTTTTAGTAGCTGCTTGCTTGGTTTAAGTTATATTTACACTCAGACTCCTCATCGGTTCCTGAGTTTGATCTCTCTTGTATTGCTGAGGAACTGGATTGAGGGCTATAGCTGTTGAAGTTAGTCGGCTTGATTCTAGATAAAAGTTATGATAAGCTAAGTTTTTAGCCTTAACTATAATTATAGCCATATCCTTTGCTATCTTTAGTTGTAGTATTAATCATTATCTCATCTGAAAATCTATATGATTTTGACTATTTCTTGTTAATTAAAGCTGAGTTATTCTAGGATACATACAACTTAGAAGGAATGGAAGATGACTTTGATTAGGGTGAATTGTTGTTAGATCTTTTTCTGATTGCTTAAGCTTAAATTCCCTTTTGCTTTCTATTACCCTCTTAGCTTAAAGTATCTTAGGAAGATTACAACTGGTCTTCCTTTTGGTCTTTTGTTTTGCCACTGATTTTTTTATCTTAGTTTTTACTGCCTTTTTTCCTACCTCTTTTCTTTGGAAGTTATTCCTATCCTTAAGATGATTAACTCAGTGATGCTTCAATTTGCTATGAAGAGGTTTATACTTATTTTCGCATTTTAGCAGCTAAAGCTGGTTAACTGATGTTTTGCTTTTATTACTGAAGATATACTTATGACATAAAAGGACTGTGAATTCTCTTTTCGTTAGAGTCTTAACAATCTCCGATTGAGTTTTCTTTGTTATTCATTGATGAAGAGGCCTGCAATAGGTTACTGCTAATTAGACCAATGAAAGACTATTCCTCACTTAATAAAGCACTATCCTCATCAATATCAGTATCTACAATATCTTCATGATTTCCTTAAAGGCTAGATTTCTTTGCCAAATGACTATTCAAGGACTTATCCTTAGGAGGTCTTCCTCTTCTTTTCATATTGCGAGTAGCTGAGCTACTGGATCTATCATAAATGACTGACTTATTGTAGTTGTGTGAGAGTTAAGAAAATGGTTGCATCTCTGCTGATTGCTGTTTAGAGTTAAATTACATTTAAATTTGAAATTAATAATTATATGATTAATAGATTTATCTTAAATATCCAGAGTAAATATTTGCTTCTGGGGTTTTGGGGTTTTGGGGTTTTGGGG